AATTAAAGAACAAAAAAAAAAAAAAAAAGTAGAAATAATGTGAAAAAATGTTAAATAAGATAGGAAATGAATGATAAAAAGATATTGTTTATTATAGATTACATTAATTAATCTTTAATCAGAATTATTACTAATGAATAATAATTAGTTATCCGTTTAGTTACCAATAAAGTAATGCAAATAAATTGTATGTTTAATTATAAAATATACAATCTTAATATGGATATGAAGAGTTTAATTTAGGAAGGTTTAATTAATTTCATTTTCAAAATTTTAAACTTACTCTATGATTGATTGATTGATTCGATTACTCATCCAAAAAAGTGAAATGAATCATTTCCCCTTTTTTATATTTTCCGTTTTAGCATAAAATATAAAGAAATAATGGGTGGATATTACAGTTAGTTAGCATTTTAACAAGTGATTAACAACTCTTTCGAGAGAAAATGACAAATGGGTATAGGGGAAAAGGTAACGGATAAATGGACAGCAATAAATGTTCCAAATAGGCTAATTGACGATGACAAAGTGTATATGTGTATGTATGTATGTATGTATGTATGTATGTATGTATGTATGTGTGTATGTATGTATGTATGTATATATGTATGTGTGTATGTGTGGATGTATGTATGCATGTATATATATGTGTATGTATGTATGTATATATGAGTGTATGTGTGTATGTGTGGATGTATGTATGTATGTATGTATGTATGTATGTGTACACTATACATTAACCCTTTTTATCTTTGTATTCCATTGTGACAAAGAACTATCAAACAGTCAGTCATCTACATTCTTGTGTACCATTCTCATTTATTTTCTCTTTAATCTATATATCAATCAATCCATCTATATAACAATTCTATCTTATCTTTCTCTCTCTATATATGTATGTATCATGGAAATTTTAGCTTAACTCTATTAAACATTTAATTATATTAATAAGCGTTTATGGGTAAAAATGCGCTAATATTTATACCTATAATATTAGGACTTTTGATAAGTTACTAATTAGTTATTCAATTAATTAGTGTTGTTTATAAATTTGGGTAATATTAGAACTTTTGATAAGTTACTAATTAGTTATTCAATTAATTAGTATTGTTTGTAAATTTGAGTAACACTAGGATTTTCGATAAGTTACTAATTAGTTATTCAATTAATTAGTATTGTTTATAAATTTGAATAATATTATAGGAAAAGAATGATTTTTTTCTTTTTTTTTGAAATCAGTTTAAGAAATACTGTAAAAATTATGCAATTAATAACAATTAATTTTCAAATACATGCAAATTTATATAATTTTTGATATAATCGATAAATTCTTCTATACATATGCTTTTATCTTATCTTATCGAAATAATAATTAATAATTTTAACAAATTTATTTTTCTTTATTACTTAAAAAATCTCCTCGATATATATTTTCAACCTTTCATAATTTATATCTTTTGATATTATCATTACTTCCTAGAAATCTTCCCAATCTCTTTATTATCATATTTAGAATCTTTTATTGATCAAAAAAGATATTAGTTTTAGGCTTAGATAAGACTTTAACAGTTAACATTAATCATCACATTGTAATTAAATATGATTGTTAGTTATTATTCGCGATAATAAACATTCTCTATTCTTCATCTGATATTTCTTAGTGAACAAAATGAGAATATTTTATAATTAGCTAAAATTTCTCAATAATTTCTTGAAATCTAAATGATAATTGATATTAGTGTATGATTAATTGAGAATTGATTTTTGATAATAAAATTTTAATACATTTAAATTGAGGATGAATTATAACTCAGAAATATTGTAATCATTGGAATTTAATATGTTTGGGTGAATTTTGAATTCTGGTTTTTGTTTGCTCTTTTGTCGTATACATACACATATAAAGGGTGTAGAGATGGAAACTGATTTGACAATTTTCGCTTCTTCAAACATTCCTTTCCAGAATCAATCCTTTTAAATTTCTTATAAATGCTTAAGGTTTGTTTGTTGGAAATGATAAGCTTTTCATTATTTGCTTAACTTATCAACAGTACCATTTACATTTTTATCATACTACTCGTATTGTTTCATCAAATGTTTTATCTGGAATAACATTTATGCATACATTCATTATTTTTAGGTTTTTTTTTGATCCAAATTATCTCTTATCAGTATATCTCTTATCATACATTTGAAAGAAGTTATTTATAGCTTGAAAATGTTAAGCTTTGTTTAATTCGTCAATAATTTGTAAGGCAAAAGAATGAAGTTGTTGGAAAATTTTTTTTGGAATTTTTCATTGATCTCTAGATAAACGGGAAACGATTAGAAACTATGAAATTAATGAATAAATCATAGCAATTAGGAAATGTTAAATTCTAATAATTTAAATATTTTCATAAGTTTTAAATGTATTCGAAGTAAAGATGAAATTATATTTATACTCTAAGAAGACTAAAACTATTCATGCGATATTTTGGTTACAGAATATTTTCCCCTCTAAAATTCACTCATCTTTACTATCGTTATCGATTCAATTAGCGAAACTATAAAATTCTGAAATTAAGTAAAATGAAGATATTGAAAATTTGATTGTTAAAGTTAAATTTAGGTTAAAATATGTCCAGAGATTTTTCATCCTGTCTTCTTTTCATTTCATTTTACCATTGAATAGAATGATTATTCAAAAATTGTTTGATAACAAATAGTAATCAGAGAATGTTTGAAGGAATTTATTTGATAGATAAAATGACTGATCATTGAAGTTGTAAACTTTCTCTTCATATTCATATCATTCCTTTGACTTCCTTT